GCGAGCCTCCCGCCTCGGCCTCCCTCTCCCTAGAGTAGCTGGGACTCCCCGCCTTCTTTCTGTTTTATTTTTTTTTTTTTCTCAGTAGAGACGGGGGGATCTCGCTCTTGGGCTCAGGCTGGTTTCAAACTCCCGGCCTCGAGCGAGCCTCCCGCCTCGGCCTCCCTCCCAGAGTGCCGGGATTAGAGAGGCGTGGGCCTCCGCGCCCGGCCTCATTTTTTTTTCTTTCCTATATTTTTTCAGTCGTCCAGCTCATTTCTGTTTAGAGACAGGGGGGTCTCACTCTCGAGCTCAGGCCGGCCTCGGACTCCCGGCCTCGAGCCAAGCCTCCCGCCTCGGCCTCCCTCCCAGAGTGCCGGGATTAGAGAGGCGTGGGCCTCCGCGCCCGGCCTCCGCCTCTGTTCTTTGCTCCGACACAGTCTTGGCTGTCCTGGGACTCTCGGGTTTCCCTCTGAGCTTTCGGGCCGACGTGCCCGTTTCTGCCAGAGGCGGCCGGGGGTGAGTCCGGTTCTCTTTCAAAGGGGCATTTGCTGGGCGGAGGCTCGCGCCTGTCGTCCCGGCGCTCTGGGAGGAGGCCGAGGAGGGAGGATCGCCCGAGGCCAGGAGTCGGAGGCCGGCCTGAGCCCAAGAGGGAGCCTCCGTCGCTACTAAAAAGGGAAACAAATTAATCGACAAACTAAAAATATATATAGAGAAAAAAAATTTAGCCGGGCGTGGAGGCGCATGCCTGTCGTCCCAGCTACTCGGGAGGGAGGCCGAGGCGGGAGGATCGCTCGAGGCCAGGAGTCCGAGACCGGCCTGAGCCCAAGAGCGAGACTCCCCCGTCTCTACTAAAAATAGAAATTAAAATCGCCCAACTGAAAATACATAGAAAAAAACAATCCGGGCGTGGAGACTCACGCCTGTCGTCCCAGCTACCTGGGAGGGAGGCCGAGGCGGGAGGATCGCTCGAGGCCAGGAGGTGGAGGCCAGCCTCTGAGCAAGACGAGACCCCCCAGTCTCTACAAAATAAAGAGAAAAAGAATAAATCGCACTAGTAAAACATTATATATATTATAACAAAAACGAGCGGGCGTGGAGTCTCACAACTTGCCTGTCGCCCCAGCTACCTGGGAGGGGAGGCCGAGGCGGAGGCTCGCTCGATGGCCGGGGAGTCCGAGACTGGCCTGAGCAAGAGCCGAGACCCGTCTCTACTAAAATAGAAAGAAATTAATCGGCCAACTAAAAATATATTCAAAAAAACGAGCCGGGCGTGGTGGCTCACGCCTGTAGTCCCAGCTACTCAGGAGGGAGGCCGAGGCGGGAGGCTCGCTCGAGGCCGGAGTCCGAGACCAGGCCTGAGCAAGTCGAGACCGTCTCTACTAAAAATAGAAGAATTAATCGCCAACTAAAAATATATTCAAAAAAACTAGCCGGGCGCGGTGGCGGCCGCACACGCCCGCTAAGTCCCAACTCCTCAAGGAAGGTGGAGGCCGAGGCGGGAGGATCGCGCTCGAGGCCGGGATCGGAGGCCGACGCCACGGGCGGCGCTCCTCCAACCCCGGGGGGCCAGGACAGAGCGAGGACCCCGTGTCTCAAAAAGAATAAATAAAAGATTAGAAGACGAAAACAAAAACAAAACAAAACAACAGAGAGAGAAGAGAGAAGAGGCTCGGCCGAGGCCCGGCGGGAAAGGGAGGCCGGCGGCGAGAGAGACTGAGTCCCGGGGACGTTTCTGGGGGGTTTCACGGGCTGTTTATAGTCGAGAATCATGTCCTCCAGGGTCTCGAAGGAGGCCGGGAGGCCGCCTCGCCCCTGTTCTCCGGCGCCGGCCTCCCACCCACGGGCCTCCGCCGGGAGGCCCGGGCCTCCTCTGGGCCGGGAAGTAATCCGAGGGCGGCGCGAACTCGGGGTCCCTCTGGGCGCGGAGGTCCGACTGCCTCTTGGACCAGAAACCGGAGGAGAGCTCTGGAGGGGACGAGAAAAAGAAGGGGGACGGGGGGAGGGGAGGAGGGAAGAAAGGGGAGGTTGAGGGACGAGGAACGGAGGGGAGGCGAGTCGGGCCGGGCTTGGCTGCCCGGGCAACGGCCGCGTGGATTTTTTTTTAAGTTTTTTTTTTTAAGAAAAAGGGGCACACTTTTGGAAAGGGAGGCCGGGGAGGGAGGATCGTGCTCGAGGTCGGGAGTCCGAGGCCGGCCTGAGCCCAAGAGCGAGACGACCCCACCTCTACTAAGACAATTAGAAAGTAATCAGCCGGACAATTAAATTAAAATATATATAAATGTGCATGTATGTGTATATATATAAAGAATTAAGTCTGGGAGGCCGAGGCGGGAGGATCGCTCGAGGCCAGGAGTTGGAGGCCGGCCTGAGCAAGAGCGAGACCCCGTCTCTGCTAAAAAAAAAATATATATATATATATAAAGAAATGAGCTGGACAACTAAAAATATATAGAAAAATACGGCCGGCGTGGTGGCGCGTGCCTGTCGTCCCAGCTCCTCGGGAGGGAGGCCGAGGCGGGAGGATCGCTGGAGGTCGGGAGTCCGATATTACCCTGAGGACAAGCAAGATCCCGCCTCTACTAAAAACAGAAATCATCTACAGAATCTAAAAAATATATATATAGAAAAAAGCCGGGCGTGGTGGCGCACGCCTGTCGTCCCAGCTACTTGGGAGGGAGGCCGAGGCGGGAGGCTCGCTCGAGGCCAGGAGGTCGAGGCCGGCCCGAGCAAGAGCGAGACCCCGTCTCTACTAAAAATAGGAATAAATTAATTGGAGAAGTAAAAACATATATAGAGAAAAAAAAACGAGCCGGGCGTGGTGGCTCACGCCTGTCGTCCTGGTTACTCGGGACAGGGAGGCCGAGGCGGGAGGCTCGCTCGCTCGAGCCTCTTTTGCGGAGGCCGACCCCACGAGACTCTGTCCGACTGATACAAAAACGACGACGACGACAAAAAAACTTTTTTTTTTCTTTTACCCCGTTTCTCGGGCCGAGGCTGGGTGACCCCCACCAAGGCGACCCCTCACCCCGCCGTGCCCCCCCCACCCCCAGCCTTTACCTTTGCCCCGGTCCCACTCCCGGACGTGGGGGACCCCGGGCCTGGTGTCCCTGCGCTCCTGGACCACGACCTCCACTCTGCTGCTCTGCGCGGGGCTGGCGGAGGCCCGGGGGGGAGGCCCGGCCTCCGTCTCCGCGGGCGAAGGAGGCCCCGTCACCGCCGCCTCTGCGCCTGTGTTGTTGCCAGGGAAACAGGGACAGGCGGTTGACGATGAGAAAAGGAAAAGAAAGAGACTGAAATCTATTCAACTAATAAAAAAAAAAAAGAGAGATAAAAACACGCACACCCGTGCACACGCAGACACACGCGTGCACAGGCAGACACACGCATGCACACACACACGTGCACACGCAGACACACGTGTGCACAGGCAGACACATGCGTGCACACGTAGACACACGCGTGCACACGCAGACACACGCGTGCACACGCAGAAGGCACGGGTCCCCAGTGTCGAAAGGCCCCTTCCTGGGGACAGTGGAGCACTTTGGCGCCGTCAAAGCCCGACCCCCAGGGGGGGGGGAACCGGGCCCTTAGCAACGGTCGCCATGGTTACGCAGGGTTAGGGTTAGCACAAGCACAGGAGCACCAGTCGTCGTCATGCAGAATTGGCCCAGCGTAGCCATGGCGACCGTTGCTAAGGGCACATTTTCCCAAGGGGGTTTGGGCTTTGATGGCACCCAAAGGCCCCGCCATCCTGGTCCCCCGCCTAGCACCGGTCGTCGCCATGCAGACTCTGCCCTGCGTAACCATGGCGACCATTGCTAGGGGGGCCGTTTTCCCGAGGAGGGTCGGGCTTTGACGGCTCCCAAATGCTCGGGACATCCCAGTCCCGCCCCGGCAACAATGACATGAGCACCGGCTGTCGTCATGCAGACTCTGCCCTGCGTAACCATGGCGACCGTTGCTAAGGGGGGCCCGTCTTCCCGAGGAGGGCCGGGCTTTGACGGCTCCCAAATGCTCAGACATCCCGGCCCCGCCCCGGCAACAACGACATGAGCACCGGCTGTCGTCATGCAGACTCTGCCCTGCGTAACCATGGCGACCGTTGCTAGGGGGGCCCATTTTCCCAAGGGGGGGTCAGGCTTTGACGGCGCCCAAAGGCCCGGCCGTCCCGGTCCCCGAGCACCAGTCGTCGCCGTGCAGACTCTGCCCTGCAGACTCTGCCCTGCGTAACCATGGCGACCGTTGCTAGGGGGGCCCGTTTTCCCAAGGGGGGTAGGGCTTTGACGGCGCCCAAATGCTCAGGACATCCCAATCCCCACCCTGGGCAACAACGACACAAGCACCAGCCGTAGCCGTGCAGACTCTGCCCTGCGTAACCATGGCGACCGTTGCTAAGGGCCCGTTCTCCCGAGGAGGGCCGGGCTTTGACGGCTCCCAAATGCCCGGCCATCCCCAGGAAGGGGGTCCGGTTCTGGCTCCCCCGGACGGGACGTCTGAGCGCAGCAGAGACGGGTCCCGGTACCTACCTTGGCCCTCAAGCCCGGCCCGGTCCTGCCCCGGCCTCGCGGCCTTCCTCCTGCGCAGCTTGGCCAGCCTGGCCTCCAGCGCGGCCCTGCGCCTCTCCCTGGCCGCCTCCCGCCTGGTCCTCTGGTCCGTCGTCTGGACAGAGAGAGAGAGAGAGAGAGGGAGAAAATAATAAGAACGAGGAGAAAAACCACCCGCCGAACTCGCGATCGTTTCCATCCGAGAGGAGGGAGACACAGCCCGGCGTCCCGGCCCTCGTGGGAGGGAGGCCGAGGAGGGAGGATTGCGGGAGGTGGAGGCCGGGCCCCGAGGGAGAGAGAGGCCCCCCCCCCACCCCCGTTCTCTACCAAAAAATAGAAAGAAATTAATCGGCCCGACTGATATAAACTGAAAAAAAAAGTGAAATCGATAAAATAAAAGAATAAAACAAGATAAGTAAAAACAATAAAAGTAAACTGAAAAAGATAAAATCCAAAGATAAAATAAAATCAATAAAAGGACAAAATAAATAAAAATAACAAAGCGAATTAAAAAAAAT